AATATTGAAATTATTTAAAGTCGATGTGTATGGTCTTGCCCAACGCATCGTCAAAACGAATTGTCAGTGCACATGGTCTTACCCAGTGTACTGTCCAACTGAATGAAAATTATCGAAATATACTTGCAAATGGTCTTGTCCAGTGATTTATGAATTGGATTATTTGAGTTTTGAGGCTTTCGCGGCCAATATTATAATTCATTATGATGGCTTCCGGATGGATGCCGCGTCTAGCCCAGCGTATCGGAGCAAGCTAGCCCTGATACTGCAGACTGAAATGTTTGCGAAACGTCGGCAAAAAGCTGAATCTAGACGCGGCCTCCATCCGGAAGCCATCATAATGAATAATTGAATTATTTATTTATTTATTTATTTATTACACCGGGTTTTCATAGAGCTTGCCCTGGATATCGATGGATTATTTTTGATAGTTATTGTTCATGTTTCGTCAATTCTTGAATTGCTTACACCATTGATTATTTTCTGCTTCGGTTTTTTGTTAGCACAATTAGTTTGTTGAAATTCATATATTCAATGGAATGATCGAAATAAATTTTCAGTTCAAATATTTAACGAAATAGATTTCATTGGTATTGAACTTATTTAGTCGTAAATATGCGAATGAAGAAGGGGATAGTCATGTTCCATTCTCCACCGCATCGGCCGTTGAATAAAAATCAGCTACGCGATACTGCACCAGGCCAAAGAACTGAGAGGAGCGAAAATCCCTTATTAAATCGAACTATTTCAATGGAAACTACCGATCGAGAAGGAAGATCGAGTCCTTCTAGTAGCGGCAGGGGACGTATTACACCATCGCCTACACTTTCTTCTGGTGTTCCTCCAATCAACCCCGTACGTCCACCTCTTCTAGTCAATTCAAAACATTCGTTCGTCCAGAACCCTCCATCAACACAAGCTAATCCTACCCCTCCAGCCAGTTCAGCTCCTTCCTCGGTGTATTCTACCGCTCCTTCCGTCAGTTCCACCACTCCTTCCACCGTTCCTTTAATCAATCCTACTGTTCCTTTAGTCAGTTCTCTTGATTCTTCAACCAGCTTTGCGCCTTCCTCAGTCAATTCAGCACCTCCATTAATAAACCCAATCTCCCAAGCCAGTAATAGGGGGTTTGCGGCCACAATTTCGCGTGTAAATTCCATCGAGAAGAATATTTATATCGTCAGGGAATCAGTGAGCGTTATGGGAGAAAGAGTAGGGGCAGTCGAATTGGTAAACGATAAAATCGAATCATTAACCGCACAATTTAGATCATTGTTAGAAAACCTCGAGAGATGTCCCGCATTATACAATATAACCGAAACACGAACGAGTAACACCATTCATATTCCATGACGCGACGAACGGCGCGAAAGGGGAGCACCTGGACAATTTGAGGATTATCACCTTTATTTACCTTTGTTTCTACCTTTATTTAAAGCAGCAATCCCTCGTTATTCTCTCATGCCAATCAAAGTGCTCGAGGACCGAGTCAAAATAGGAATCACGAATCCAGTCGAAATTACAATTCTCAATACGATCGCGAAAATAATCTCGGGTCAACTCGAAGTAATTTCTTTACGGGAAATTACTTCCACGGAAGGTTCAAAATCAGTCTTTATCGCAGGAAGTCTAAGCCGAAGGGGAAACAAATATAAATAGCGTCAAAAACCTAGATAATTCAGAAAATAATATTGTATCCGAAGATCACGATTCACAGATCAAGTTAAATATTATTTATGATTCCTCAGATGAGTCAAGTTTAAGTGAAGACGAGTTCGAATTAAGTGAGCCATGAAAAGCAGCAAAGTCAATCCAGATTCCATCAGAATTACTAATATTGGAAGAGTATAGGGCTGATGGTATTGACGGTGAAACAAGACTACGCGTTCGTTCGTATGAGCCCGCACGGAAAAAATATATATGTCGAAGTATATGATTGATATATGCAGATCATATAGGATATATTTCGGCCAAAAATGCAATAAGCTAAATCTATCTCAGATATATGTCGTTTTCTATCTAAAGATATACTGATGATATATTTTACAATATATCCCAGAAATATTTAAATTACTTATCCCGTATATGTCTTGTATATTCGGGGCCCTTAAAAACATATATTCTATAATTGAATGCTACATATATATTTCGATATAACTACATAATATCCCAAATGTATAATCATTAATATGTCTACGTAGCAGCAATATATATGTCAATCATATGCTCAATATACCTCAGAAATATCCAAAATATAAAATCACAAAAATGTCACATATAACGAGAAAATTTGTCGATTATATACAATATATATCCTTCATATATGTGGGCCTGAACATATATATCTTTTACTCTGAATATACTAAAATTCATTCGAAGTAATTGTTACTTATCAAGATAATCGGATATTTAATGGATATTTGACGAAGTTAATCCTTCTATCATCAAAGTAGTTCAATGGTAAAATAACAGGAGAATTCTTACATCTCGTAATCAATTTAATTACTTAGGTTATGAGTAATTTTGGGAAAGAATGTCAAGGGCTATGTTTTGTAGTAAATTTTGTTAGCCGCATAAAAAGTGTTTTGACAATTCGTTCCCAAGATAAATGAACTATCCATAAACATTAGCCTTTGACTTGAGATGGTTTACCACTTCGCTGCCCAAGTCAGATGTGGATAACAAGAGGGAAGAATTCTCCCGTTTATGATGAGAAGTCGAGATTTGAAGGCAGGAGGAGGGTGAGGAATGAAAATTGATGCGTAATTATATCTATTTTATTTATTATTCCTTTTCCATGTATTACTTCCAAGATTCGTATTAATTGGGGTGGATGCATGCAATTGAAATTTCATGTTTCGGCAAGTGCAGTAGTGTCACTTTCTCCTGAATCTCATGGACATTTATAACAGCTATGTCATCATATCGGTCCTTTACGAATTTCAAGTGCGATAATCTGCGATTTCTCGAAAATGGTGAATCAATTTTTTTATAATAGTACCCTACGGCATAACATTCTCGAGAATTCAGATGGGAAAGAATTACAAACTGTTCTATCTCGAACACTTCTTGATCCCTAGATAATACAATGTAACTCTTTCGCTTTTGAGGTTTTTTATATAGTTTCGAATGAACCATTCCGCCATTGATCAGCATTCTTATAGCAAGTTCAATAGTTGTGACATTTTCTACGTCAATATCGATTCTTCTGAAAGCTAGATAATACGGCCGACTGAGAGTGGCAATTCGCTGGACACTACCGAAAACACCAACGTCATTAATCCGCTGAGAAACTTTTGGCAAAATCTTCGTATGCAACATTTTTGATAAGAAATTCCTCTGAGAGTGACTCAAACTATCTTCGCATATATTCGTCAATTTAATAACTGCAATTTTAAATCGAAAGGAATCACAAATTTGCAATGGGACGCCATTGGAACTGTGGACACAATTTTTCAAACGGAAATTAAAAGATTCATACATGAATGCACTGTGCGTCCAAAGGGATCATTGCAGGACGCTGTCTGGTAAATGGGTGAGTAGGTGGACATTGAAAGAAACATGTTCAAGGCCATATAACTCTCTCACTTCTTTCACGAACTCATATAGACACTGACGTGCATATTCCACCTCAGAGGGCATAATAGAAGTCTTCAAGAGTATGGACATTCCGTCCACGAGTAATGCCCAATGCTCGACGTATTTTCGTGGAGCAATTTCCTTAAGAATAGGTAAACTATAGAACAATAACCAGACGCTCCATTCATGTGCTTTCCAGAATTTCCGTTCACCAATGTTTCGGGTTGTCCTAGAAATTTCTAGCGTTGGAGTAAATGATTCGAGTATAGTATTTATCAAAGCCTCATGTTGCCCTAAGAAGAATAATTCACCACGGTATTTTGGATCCAACCACAGTTTGCAAAATTGTTTTGCTACACCTAATGTCGCTAGGTGCATCCAATCTGCCACAAGACCATCAATTACATCAACACCCGGGACATCATACATGACAGATCGACCTTTCATCCTCTTTTCTCCATTCCTAGCATGATTCAGAGTTTCATAATGATTTCGAAGACCCTCTCCGAATGGATTCCCATTGGCATCAATTGGATACACTCTGACAGAACCACGACCTTTGGGTACTCGAACTCCGGGATGGAGGCAAAGACCACAGCCCCACTCTCCGTCGAATTGATGGCTGTTCCTTACGACAGGTCGAGCAACAGAATCACAAATTCCTACCAAAACTTGACACTTTTTATGATATGCATTTCCCTGATATTCATATTCCAGACCACATGAATTCAGATCTTGCCGTTCACTTACAAAGGGCTTCAACATTTCTTTCATATCTGTGGGTTTTCCTTTTCCAAACCATAAACTACATAAAATCATATTTTTTGCTCTTTCTCGAGGTGGTATCTCATTGATTGCACATAGAACCGGGTAGAGCGACGTTGAAGAGCTCTTGAAAACAGGTGTACCGTCGACATTAAAATTTAAAGTGATGGTATCACTGGAAACAATTTTTTTATACATTGTACCGTCAAAAAAGTCTTCGATGGCATATTTATTCGATTATTTCCGGTTCGTTGGAATGATCAATTTATCATGATTCAATTCTAAAAAGTACTGTATTTGTTCCTTCAGATTTATATACAGAACGACATTTCCACTTTTCCAATTAGTCGTTGTGTCAGTCACCTGATGACACCGGGGGCACGTTAGAACATTTGGTTCGGCTCCAGATTGTCCAACTTCTTTCCCTATGTAACTCTGGCATTCTCCACAGAAATGATGAATTGACAAATTATCGCAAAGACTATTTGAAATTTTCTTCCAATCATATTTTGAAGAATGTGAAATTCTTGCATTGGTTAATACTTTTGCTAATAGCAAAACATCTTCCGTTGCTGCATAGGAGAAATTATGTCGTAACTTAATAGCCAGGGCTATTAATGTAGCTATCAATTCTTCTGTTGAGTATCCAGACAAAGATGGAGGTGAGATAGAGTGAGTGGTATTGGCTCGAGTGAGAGGAGTTTCTTCACCTGGTAAAATAACTTCGTCTTCACTTTCGTCGGTGTCCTCACTTGAACTATCACTATCGATTGTATTGCTCGCTGAATCATCGATATGGTCATTAAACAATTGGTCCCCTCTTCCCGCCTCGTCTGCTGAAGAATCATCGGATGAATCTGCGAAGTTATCGCTCATCTCTGGTACAGAAGGCTGTAAAAATCCGGGTAATGAAAATCATAAAAAAGGATGAATGATTGAAGATGGTAATATCAATTTATTTTTATAATAATTATCGAATTGAATTGATAAATGAACGATGATTAGGAAACCAAACTATCATCGTAGTCACAAAAAGAATTTTTTTAGGCTTGTACTCCATATCAATTATAAACGAGATGAGTGCATAATTAGGTATGATTTGAGATTCTGACGTTTCACTGAAACAGTTACATGTCATTACTACATCATCAAATTATGTCGGTAAACATGAATTTTGACAGGAAGTGTCGAAAGATATTCTTTCTTGCAATTATGGAACTCTCTATTGATAAAATACAGGGGAAATGAAGAGGAATGTTAAACCAGATTCAACTTTTCACTGCTCATTACTCTGCTACTAAAATATCAACATAAATCTCATTATCTCAATTCATTGAATAATTCATCAAAAAATAGCACTTGAGTCGAAATGATGAAAATATGATGAAATTATCCACCTCCAGAGTTGTTGGAGGATTGAATGTCAAGACATCTTCGTTGTTAAGCAGGCAATTTTCCACAAAAAGAGTCTCGTCATATGTGTACTGATGAAGTCAATAACAACCGAGTGAAATAAGAAATCGAGAGATATTATGAAACAATTTTTTTCCAACGATTAAATCTCACTAAATCTCGCTTAATTTTGAAATCACCCCTGGTATTGTCACCTTCATTTTGTACCGTCATGGTACATTTTCCATAGAAAATTTACATATATAGAGAAAAAGCTCTTCACGTTTTTTTTCCTTATGCTAATAATTCGAAAGTCAATGTTATGAAGCCAACTACAGGAATGTCCATGGTCATTTGATGAAATGTAGATATAATGCTCACCTCCCCACTCAGAGAATCCTCCCCTTGTCCACTGTTCTCCACAAAAAATGATGTCCTGCAACAATCAATGTAAAACAATAAATTTTGTCTATTGAATGCGGTCGATTTGATCAACTGAAAAGCACAAGTTTTAAATTAGGACATAACTAACCTCTCACTTTTCCTTCTCATCACCCAGCGACTTTTGGTTCGAGCAGGAACACCACTGTTGTTACCATACAGGGTATATAATTTGTATCTTTTCCGGATCCCAAATTGACGATTCATTGCTCACTGATTCTTTAAGCCACTATTTACCGAATTATTATTACTGCACAAATGATGATTGGAATTTACACTCTCGATACTCTCATATGACACGGATTCGGTAAGATCAAAATGCATGTGTGGTTGTTCACTTCCGGATATATCCGACGCGGGAACGTGACTGTGAGGCATGAACCAATGGGAGTCGTTTGCCTTGCGCGCGGTGAGACACTGTGAAACTAACCTCATCAAATCCAATCTTTTCAATCCCATTTCTTCCAAAAACTTCTTTTTCCAGACTACGAAGTGTGTGACGGTATCGTTTCCATTTATTTTTTGCTATTATTATCCAACAATCATTTAATTTTTTCTCTCAAAAATTGATCCATTACTATATTACCCGTATACATCGGAATGTAGTTCATGGAAGCTGCAGTGACTGTAGTTGTACTTCCGCCATTTTTGTTTTGGAATTCTCGATAACCTCATCAACGTGTCAGAACGTGCTTTACGTTGCCATTGTGCACACTGGAATTTCGTTGTCTTAGAGTGAATTTTTAACAGTTTATCGTGATCACAGGAAGGTTGCAAGTAAGTATTGATCATTTTTTCCAATTAATCGCAGCAAGTTGCAAATATACTTCCGACAAACAGTCATCGAATCATTTCCTTTTTTCTCACTCCTCATTCACCAGATATGAAAATATGAATGTCATAATTTTTCATGATCATTACATGAATCGGAAATTCCTGTTATCGATTTTTTTCAATCAGCTATCTGTTTCTAATGAGTTGAATTTCTCCCCAGAATGCCAAAACCACGCTTTGCCACAGTGAAATGGGTCGGTGGGGAAGATGACGGCAAAATTACTGTGGGGGTACCACTCGAATGCATCTTAAGGTTCGATTATAAGGAGTTTCTGAAAATTTCAATCCTGACCTGGCATATGCAGTCCAATGGCGAACTGCAGGGAAAAAACCACCTGGAGGATGGCCCATTTATGATGGGGTGGTACTGGACGTCGCAAGTATATCCTGAAAATTTTCAAACTACCACGTATTGAATTGTTTGTTCCTCCCCTTCGCACATCAGTTTCCTAACGTTATTTTCCATTAATGTTTGCATCTCTAGCTACCGTTCAAGTACTGGAGAGGAAGAGCGAAAATTATGTTTATCCTAAATCTTCACGTTTGCTACCTCGAGGAACAGGAGCTTCATCACCCTCTCCGTCACAGCCTAGTATTTCGGGACAGAAGCGAGCTTCTGTCACCCCCGCAAATGCTAATAAATGTAAGGTAAAAATCTGAATTTTCAAAGGTATGAAAATAACTCCTGATCAATTAACGATTTTGATATCCGTCAAAAATTGATTGGAAATATTATCACGTCAATCCAGTGATCATCGAGACAATGAGGAGTTTCGGGACAAAATGTCAGACTTTTTTTTTGCAGCTGTCAGAAATCTCTCAATAATATTGAAAATTCATTGAAGAATTATAATCAACACATATTCAGTATTCCTATGAGATGTAGTTCGTCTGGGATTCAACTGAAAGCGTTTTCCTCATATTATTGAAATTTTAGAAGAGCAAGGATAATTCTGATACGTTCAATAGCAGCTCCTCATCAGAGGAAGACACTTCTGACGACGATCGATCAGTAGCTGAGGAGACAGTCACCATTCAACAGGATGGAACCCCAGGGAACAGCATCCAAGAGAACGACTTACACACACCTCTTCGAACTCGCCAGAACCAGGCTCCAGTCATCAGAGGTCTCAACAATCAAATCCCAGTAGGAGGCCTTGGCAACCAAGTCCGAGTTGGAAATCCCATCCACCCTATCCCACCCAATGATCAGAACGTGCCCAAATCCTCATGGTAACTTTTATTATTTTCATTAATTGTATTAATAATTTCCGTTGATTTACTTGGTGATTTTTGATCAAATCAGATAATCAGAGGCTTGAACGATTATTTGAGCTGGAAGATTTGCTCCGAGAGAATTTACGACGACAGCAACCTCAAGACCAGAATGCTGATACGGTAATACATTACACCATAATTTCTATGCTGAAAATGACAATTGTATCGGAATTATACAGATATTCCCGTACAGAATGCCTTTTACTTATCAAATTACGTATATTCTTCATTGGGGTAGGTATCTCTTCTATTCTCATCCAAATTTTTAGTAATTAAATTTAGGAATCATGAATTCACTCGATTTCAATATTTCACAGACCTTCTTGTATTAAAAATACTACCAATCACCAGTCAATAGTATTTCAAAGTCAATTCTGTAATAGTCTTCCGTTGCTCCACAAAAGGTCCTTCTTTTCTCTCCATTGTCTGTTCCATTGCGATACTTCCTATCAGTTAAATAAATACTGAACACTTAAATAAATACTGAAAACTTGTTAGGTCGAGCTTGGACAGAGGGGCAGTGGTGTGAGAGTGACAATGACTCAATGGAATGCATCAAAAGACATGAGAACCTTCACAGGTATGGCCAATCTAGTACTCGCTGTGTTCGATCCTGATGTTCTACTTATCAGCAATGTTAAAGGAGGTGCAAGCAAAATAAGGAAACGGGAAGAAAATCCTCCCAGACACAGTAAATTGGATGCTCGTATCTTAGAGGCAGTTGCAGGTAATTTGTCTGTTCTGGTAAATAATGATCTCATATGTTCCTCGATGTGTTCTTTTTTTTTATCCTCATATATGTTTGCAGTGACTGTTAGGAGAGAGTTTCCAAATTCTTTCAATACCACAGAGATGAATCGAGCAATAAATGTCAAACTAACTAAGCTCAGGGCCTTAGACAGAGCAGCAACTGCTGCTGCTGCCGCTGCTCCTGCTGCTGCTGCTGCTGCTGGGATTCAAGAGCAATAAGGAGAAAGGGGTTTAAGAGTCTCGATTAGAGGAATGACAGGCTACATGGTACTTGATGGAAAATAGAAAATTTATGCAAAGTTGATATATATTTATATTCAGTTGATTTAGGAGGATAACGAGCGATCTCACTGAATCAAAGGAAAGTCGTATGACTAATTAGGAACTCCTGAGTATGGAGATATATTTTCTTTTCAAGTCTATTTGATAGACGATTTAGCAGAAGTTCTGTTATGATTTGTGTGAAGATGAGTTTAACTGTTTATTTTATAGTTTATTTGCTAAATTGCTTATTAGGGACGCATTCGTTTATTTATTTCATCTCTAATCATGAGTTCATTTGATAAATTCAGTTCTCATGAGAGAAGAATATTTTCCTTTGTTTATTAGACGGTTGTTTCTGTATGGGAAAATGATAATAACTTTTCTTTCCCATCATTACTGATTTCATATGGAGAATTCACTTTATTTTGTTTTTTTTGTCTCTGTTTATCTGATAGACCCTTTCGGAACCAGTTGCACCAGCTTTTGTTAGCTAAACTATTAGTTAACAGTCAGATAGCCCATAAGGCAAGAACGAATTTGACCCTAGAATAGAACAACTAACAAAGTTTGGTACAACCCACCCCTAGTGTGGAGACATTTTTTTTGGTCTGGTTGTCAAAAATTGCAACCATTTTTTTGTAGTTTATTTGACAGATATTCTAATGTCAAGATGATTTTTTTTTCTTTGCAGAATTATTTTGATAGACTCTTCAGTGTGGAGAGAAGCAATTAGTTATTCTTGCTGTAGTTTATTTGCTCGGTAATTTGATATGGAAAAGGAAGAATAATCCTTTTTCAGTTTATTCGACAGAAGTTTCATAATTTTCCAGACGTGGGCGAAAATACTATTTGGATTTCATTCCAAATAATTTGGTTATTATATCTGATCGAGTTTTATGGAATAGTATCTATGGAAATTGATGTTCGAAATTTCCAATTTTTGAGGAAAGGCTTAAATAATAACACTGTCACGATTTATTTACGACTCCAACTTTTCCAAATAATCAGTTAAACTTTTACTAATTCAAATTAAATTTTTCTCTTAAATTTCTGAAATATTGCCCAGCATGACTTTTTCATGTTCTCGGTTCTTTTGTTACATTATTTATGATTGAAATTTCATTATTCTTCCTTCAGTTCATCAATAAAAGTTATGTTGATAAATGTTAGAATTAAGATTTAAACCAACCACTGGAAAAAGGTGAAAGTTGGAAAAACATAAATGTACTTACTGTTTGAATGATTGCATTTCAACGAAAATATTGCACTTGATGAATAAAACACTTATTGAAATATTTTTCGTTGTAACTTGTAGCTCGACCGCCTTTCTTCACTCTCACGAGGGGGGTAAGGAGGAGGGGGGGGTTAAATTTAATATAAATATAGCAAATAATTTGTTATATTTTCAAGATNTTCAAGATATATGTCTCATTGATCCTTTATTACACGCATATGCTGGATATATCCGCGATATATCAATCATATATCTCCGCTCGATCCCATATTACTCATATAAGTTGGATATATCCGTAATATAATTGAAATATCTGCTAAATATATTAATGCATATAAACTGTATATAATTTGGTCTATATAACTTGCATGTATGTGAAATTCATTTTCAGCTATATGTGGCTTTCAACTAATATATAACCGATTTATTTCTTCGCGTATATCGTGGATATATAATGTTATGTATAAATTCGGCCAAAAAGACACTTTTCAATATTTTATTTTTTATATGCTGAATATATCCCGATTATTTCCTGTTATATGTGGCATCTATTCAACATATATCCGGGTTAAATGTTGACATATATCCTCCGGATATATTCTTTTCCATGCGGGAGGACTGGTGACCTGCCTGTCTTTCCCCACACGCGATATATCGTCTGGCTCAACGTCGAATTTATTGTCAAGGTGTAGGATTAAAAGAAGCTAGAACAGCTGTTAGGATACGAGTCGAAATTTCTAGTTTCGGCGAGAAAATGACAGGTATCATCGACAGCAGTAGCGATCGATCCTTCCTCGAAGTAATTTCCTGTATAATTACTTCGGGACAAAATTTCTACTGGCCAGGGATGTCACAAGACATTAAATCATATGTTGAAGAATGCGATATTTGCCTGACACTCAAATATGATCAGAACCCTGTAAAAGGACTTCTTATGACGCGACCATTACAACAACCATGGGCACAATTATCTGTTGGTACTGTTGTCTCACAAACGCGCTCGAAGAAAGGAAATACGGATATAGTTATCGTTCAAGATCTCTATACAAAATATATACAGTTGTTTCCAGTGCGTAATAGGACTGATAAAGCTGTCGTTAGGGTTCTGAATGCTGTTTTTGATCGATGGGGTACTCCGAAATCGATTATTACAGATAATGATACTGAGTATTTAAATAAAGACATTCAGTGTCTTCTAACCGCACGAGGTGTCGAACATGTTGCCACTCCGGTAGCTCATCCACAGAGTAATCCCGTCGAACGTGGAAATTGGACAATTAAGCCTATGATCGTTGAATTCATTAAGAAACACAATGAGTGGGACGAATATTTGTCGGAAATTCAATTCGCATATAATACAGTGCCACACGCGGGCAGTCGTGTTTCCCCTTTTTTCCTTAAACACGGTCGCGAGGCGAGAGTGAACCATGATCTGCGCGATAGTACAAATGGAAAACGAATTCCTGATGATGATTCAATCGTGTATTGAATCAGTAAAATTTACGAATGTCGTCACAAAGTAGAAAGTCAATTAGCAAATTACTTACATAAAATACTCAATAGAGTCAATGCTGGTAGAATTAAGTCTGTAGATGTCAAGGTAGAAACGGAAGTTTATTATCCAAACAAGAAGTTGAGTAATAAGGCCGAAGTCTACTCCTTTAAACTTGCACACAGATATCTAGGGCCAGCCTTTGTCAGAAGAATAATAAACCCAATGATAGTCAAGTTGGTGGATGAATCCGATAGAATAGTAGGGAAATATTATCTAACTGATCTTAAAATACTACGCCGTAGTTTACATGAAAATAATCGTCTCCTATAGGCCAAGTCGACTCCAACACCTTCAACGACGTCAACATTGAGGTCTACCACACAAGTAGCCAACATGAGCGGGCTTGAGGACACCGTTCATGTATTTTCGTCAAGCGAGAAGGATGAACACCTTAAAATGCTTCACTAATGAGCACTGGAACTGGAAGCACAGCTTCAATTCATCAAGAATGAAATCCAAGTTCATCAAAGCAACGCCACATGGGTTGCCAGCTCGCAAACTACTAATAATGACATCACCACTAATGGAGAAGACCCGGAAGACCTTTTCAAATATGTCTTGCCAAACAAACTACATTCTGTAACTCCAGAGTCGAAAGCTAAAAACGATGACTCTGAATTGAAAACAAAAACAAAGCCGTCAATACCTGAGGTTGATGCTGAGAAGAAAAGCACCGAATCGGAATCGACACTAGACAACGTTGACAGTACTGGCAGCGCAAACATCAGCGTCAAAGTAGCTGAACTCCTGCAGGTCATTCAAAACTATCCATTCTCGAAATTCGTATTGCATAAAACCATGAGAATGACCCCACAACAACTCCTGAATGAGAAGAGGCGAAAGAATCGAGAACCAACCCCTCATCGCCCAGTAGAAAAGTCATCCAGCGAACGTGAGTTATCCGTAGCGGACATCTCCAGCGCAGAACTAGCACCATCAGTCTAAGTCAAATCACTACCCGCTGAAAAGATGCCTTAATGAACGACATTCTCGAGGAGCTGGGGGTCCCTAGACTCCTCAACGCCAACGGAGTCATACGGCCGTTAGATGTGCACTGAGAAAAATCCGACGATCGTTTAAGGGCGCGGCGTTCATTTCAAGGCATTGCGCCCATAAATGCATTCGAAGTCGCGCGCCTTCGATTTCAAGGAATTTCCGATAAAACGGGTTCTTGAATCAAAGGCGAGAAAATCTTCATTTGAAAGGTCTAGAAGACTTTGAATCAAGAGTAGAAATTGAGAATCTTCAATTGTCCATATCTCCCGACTGAATACCGTAATTTGAATAAATCAGATTTTAGTTTGGAGTTTAAAAAAACCTTTGAAAATTATGTGAAAAATTTGACTATGCTACTTTCGTTTGATTGATACGTAGATTCGGTCCATTTTACCCCACTATCTTTAGATTTTCATCATTTAGGAAGAAACAAGATACTAATTGAAAATTAATGAAAAAATATGTGAATAAATAAACAAGTCAGCCTCCAAATCAATCAAACAGAACATATTTTCAGCAAACAGATGAACAAATTCTGGCGAACGATATCCACAACTTTTCGAACGTACTGCACTGCCGACGCTCCAAAGGGACCGAGGACGGGGGTCAACTTTTTTACCCCTAATTTTTATAAATAATTAAGGAACATGACAAAATATGTTTACATCCTTAACCCTCCATATGCATTCATTATTTAAATGAAAAATAAAATTGCTAAATTTAAATAAAAATTTTTAACATTGGGACTTAGGGGGGGATGGAGGGAGATGCATAATAGGGGAGGGTTGAAAATTTGATCCAACAGGGGGAGGGGTTCCAGAATCTATCTGAGCTGCCGCCATCCCTCCGTTCGCATGCGTCAATCAAATAAAAAAATAAAATTGTTGAATAAAAAGAAGAAATCTCGAAAATTGTGATTTCACAGGGGGTGGCAGGGGGATGCATAATAGGGGAGGGTTGAAAATTTTATCCGACAAGGGGAGGGGGTTCCAGAATCTATCTGAGCCACCCCCATCTCTCCGTTCGATAACTATCGAAAATTCGGACTTCGAGAAGGGGTGGAGAGGAAATGCATAATAGGGAAGGGCTAAAAAATTTTAGTCAACAAGGGGAGGGGGTTGCAGAGTCTGTCTGAAACACCCCCCAGCCTACCGTTTCCATGCGTTAAAT